ACACTTGGAATACTGCATTCAGTTTTGGTTGCCACGATGTAGAAAAGATGTGGAGACTCTAGAAAGAGTGCAGAGAAGAACAACAAAGATTATTAGGGGACTGAAGATTAAAACATATGAAGAACGGTTGCAGGAACTGGGTATGTCTAGTTTAATGAAAAGAAGGACTAGGGGAGACATGATAGCAGAATAGCTGCCACAAAGAAGAGGGGGTCAAGCCATTCTCCAAAGAACGTGAGGGCAGAGATCTTCATAAGACTGGAATACTGCAACCTGTTTTGGTAACCACATTTCAAAAAAGATGTTGAGATTCTGGGAAAAGTGCAGGGAAGAGCAACTAGGATGATTAGGACTGAAGATTAAAACATATGAAGAACGGTTGCAGGAACTGGGTATGTCTAGTTTAATGAAAAGAAGGACTAGGGGAGACATGATAGCAGTGTTCCAATATCTCAGGGGTTGCTACAAAAAAGAGGGAATCAAACTCTTCTCCAAGGCACCTGAGGGTAGAACAAGAAGCAATGGGTGGAAACTAATCCAGAAGAGAAGCAACTTAGACTTGAGGAGAAATTTCCTGACAGAACAATTAATCAGTGGAACAGCTTGCCTCCAGAAGTTGTGAATGCCCTGGAAGTCTTTAAGAAGATGTTGGATAGCCATTTGTCTGAAAGTTTCCTGCCTAGGCAGGGGGTTGGACTAGAAGACCTCCAAGGTCCCTTCCAACTCTGCTATTGTATTGTATTAAAAACCTACATATAGTGAACCATTATTCTAGATGTAGAAGGATTGAAGTAATCCCTCTTTAAAAATTACCCCGTTAGAGTGAACAAAGAACATTTGTGCCAGATGAAATGTAATCTGAGATGGCTTTCTCTCTTGTTTTTAAAAGCTTGACTAAGAATGCAACAACATTTGATAACAGCTAGACCGCTCTTCAGAAGGCCAAAAGCTATTATCTTAAAAGAAAAAGGAAAAAAAACAACAACAATCCAACCGAAGCCACTTGAATAGTTGCCATTTTTTTAAAATGTGTGTGCTTGTTAAGATGCTTTCTTATTCTCTACTGAAAGATACCATGCTAACATTTACTATTGTGGGTTGCTAATCTGTTTTCAAGGTTGTGCTCCATTCTCATAGTCTCTAGAAGATAAATTTCTGTGTGGGAAGCTGTTTCATACCTCTAACATTGCTGATAGTATATTCACTGCATTTAGACACCTCAAGTTATAATTTTTGATGATTTCCCTGTAACTGTAAAAGATCTGTGTGTGCTAGCAGCTTGTTGCAAAATTACTTGTTTTCTTACTAACAGGAGCCGCTAAAACAAACCTAGGGTCTCTGTCCAGAGCCAGAGCCATAAACCAAAACAATGTTAAGAGACAGAGTTTGCAGTTCACTATGGATTAGGTCCAAATGTTGAACTAAGACATGATTTGCTTTTATGTTTGTTATAGAATATATCACAACTGGTTGAGATCACATACCATAAGCTTTAAACTAGGGTTGACAAAACAACAGGTGTTCATCCAGATATTTTAAGCCCAAGTGCATTAACAACTCTGTGAACCCAACTAAAATCATATGAATGGGAAGAATTGTTCGAAGAAATGTCCTTCTGGGTTCAGTTCCAAGTGGGGGAAAAGACACTGGAAACATGGAGGCTGCTTGGAAAGATGGTTTAATGGTGGACAGGATCACATCGCTTGAGCTCCTGAACAGAAAAGGGGGGATCAGATGCTCCAAAGATGTTGGGTGAAGAAGAAAAAAGAGAGACTGAGATGCTGAAAGTCCCTGGTTTTATGCCCACTCTGGCCTTTGATCTTGATCTTGTAT